TAGACAATACGTCCCCGAACATGTCTACTCTAAATGAGCCAAGTCCCACCAATTTCTCCCCTCTCGGTTTTGAAATCGATTAATTCTATGACTCCTCCTCTTTCGGTTCTAAAAGTCACTAATTCGATTAGAAGGTGTTTAATCAACTAATCATGTAGAATCAACAAACTCAAACTTAATAAATCAATATTCAATCGTGCAAAATCGAAGTGTCACTCTTCGATTATATCAATAAATTTCCTAAGTGTCACTCTTAGGTTATATCGAATTATCAAGCATGATTTTATCAATTCCAAATTAAAACAACTCGCAAAAATTGAGCTATCGTCATGCACATAAACGAGAGCAAACCGGAATGACTATCCTCTAACCCTAGCTAGAGGATTAGCTACTCATAACAATTTCAACACAAACATTCATTTCTCCTAAATTAACCATTTTGCATGAATTAATTCAAAGAGAAAATAAATTTACAATTCAAGCTCCAAGTGTTGAGTTCAAGTACAAGCTTCATCCAAAAGACAAAATGAGGAAAATGAAGAAAATAAGAAGAATACAAGAAGAAGAATACAAGAAGAAGAAGGAGGAGGAAGAGAGGGAGAAGAGGAGAAGAGGGGAAAACCCCTGTATGGAGTTGTTTTTTTTCTCAATCCAAATCCTTGCCGCATTTTATAAGTGTTTTCTCCTTCTTTTCATCCATAAATTCTTCCACAAAACATGCAAAAATGTTCATGGCTCAAAACATGGAGGAAAATCCGAGTGGTTGGTCTAGGTGTAGAGCAGACGCTCCGCGGCCACGGGGAGCTTCGCGGCCGCGACTTTCAGCTGCAGAAGTTGGCTCCGCCCCCGCGGTGAAGAAAATTCGTCTGTTGCGCGCGGCTTTACGTTTCGGGCTCGTTTAGGCTCGTCCGAGATCGGAATTGAGTTCTGTTTTTTCTTATGTGTCACCAATGAAGCCTTGTACTCAATTGTGCTTTTAAATCCAACTTATACTTGAAAACCTATTCTCCCAAAGTTCTTGACTTGAAGTTGACGGCTTCCGTGCACGACTTCGCATATTGGGTCCGCCGGACTCGTCTGAGCTTGAAATCCAATTCCGCTTTTTTCTACTTGTAGCCAACAAACCCATCTATTTAACCATGGTTTTCCGGCCCATTTTTAAGCTAAATCTATTTCTCACGGGCTTCTAACCTGCACACCAAAAATAAGAAGAAAAACGTAGAAAACTGACAAAATACACGAAAAAACATAAAAAGCCAAAATAGAGCAAAACACACAATAAATTACAAAACGAACTAACAACTAACAAAAAGACCTAAAACGGGGGAAGAAGAAGAACAAAATGACAACGAAAAATGTAACAAAAATGGTCACAACACATCCGACGAGAGCACTTTCAATTTCCACCTTACGGCTCGTCCAAACGAACGGCGACCTCCGCCAGAGATGAGTATGGTCGGCGACGGAGGGCTGTCTGTTGAGACGAAGCGACGATTGAACGCCAATGGATGGTCACAGGAGACGACTCTTGACAGCCGACTAAGACGCAGCGACAACGGAGGAATTGAATGTGATTTTCATGGAGTGTTCAACGGCGGCTAAGGCGCGGCGGAGGGTGACGACGGTTGAGACGGGGAGGTTGTGCTGCGTGTGTGACGCCGACGACAGTGTGTGTAAGCCAGTTCGCCGGCACTGTGTGTGTATGGTCATGATGTTGTAGGCACCCAAATTAACCTTGCTTAAGAAATATGTAGTAGCATGAGCAAGGATCGTATCCACGGGGAGAAGTCAACAAAATCTATCAACTATGTGATCAAAAAGGGGGAATTTTTAATTAATGATCTAATTAACTAGAAATTACCTATCAAACAATAAATAAAATAATAATAAAATAAATTTCAGGAGATGAAAAATAAATATAATATGAATATGCCTTGGTTGATTGATTTCCACCCTAGATTGTTTCACCGATCATTGATGCAAAAATATAACCTCACAATCCACGCAACTGCCGTTGAATATAAATTCTATCTCCTAATTTAGTCACACAAAATAAATCCTTCTACAAGACTCTTATAACTAGTTAATTCCCAACATCGTGAAAAATTATTTAAGCAATAGCATTATATACAAGAGATCGACAGTCCAAGCAATAAATAACTAATCTGTTAAATATTAACTTGTTCAATTATTTCGCTTAAGAACGACAATACCTAAATCCGGTCAATTATCTATATTAGTTGCTTCTAGTGAAAGACACATGATCTAAATCCGACTCAAGTATCAATCAAGCAATAGATCATAAGCATAGAATAATAGGTGGTCAATCCAACAACTAAGCACAATAATCATAAAAATATGCACACAAAACATTAATGCGAAAAATATATGAATTAGAATAAAAACTAATTCGATCTCACAGTAGTGGGTCCGGGGTTTCGATCATCTTCAACCAAGACAAATACAAATTAGCCGCACAGGGCTATCATAAAATAATCCAACAAAAATAAAAATAAAAGATGAAGAAAAATAAAATGAAAGAGAAAAAGATAGAAGAGAGAGCCGCTGTATATAAGTTAAGCATTATTTTTGGGCTTGATCGTTAATTAGGCCCAATTGAGAAATCTGCTCCAACATTATACCAATATGGCCATGTTACATTTGAATATAATTACGACACTGCCATGTTTGTTATAAAAGTTTTCTCTTCCCAGGCACATCGAACTCTCAATTGCGCCAAAGTTGAATCTTCCATTTGACATGCTAAAGAGACTTAGATCTGCTCAAAAATTCAAACACCGGTAGTTTCCACTCGAAAATACAAGATAATGTCAAACATATGTCAATTGAACTCAAATAGTTAATATAAACTCTATATTAATCCACTAAACCAACACATATTTTTGACTTACCAGTGTATGTTTGTGGTGTGTGTGTCTCGCATATGTGTGTGTGCGTGTTTTGGTGTGTGTGTTGTGTGTGTGTTTTGGTGTGTGTAACACGCGTGTTTGTTTTGAATTATTATGTGTGTCAGTGTGTGAGAGAGGGTGAGAGGGGTGGGTGGGGTGCGTGTGTTATGATTTATGTATGTGTGTGTCAGTGCGTGAGAGATGGTGAGAGAGTGGGTGGGGTGTGTGATGTGTAATGGCCACGTGGCATTAAATTATTGGTCTGGTGAGTGTTAGTTGGCATTGTTCCACAGTTTTATAATCAAAATGTCCAAAATACCTTTAATGACTAAATAAATACTGAATTTTTTGTTACAATTAGATCATCCAATCCAATGGCCACGATTTATTCTTATTTCTTTCACTAAGACCCCTTCTCGCTGGAACCCAACCCTATATATATATATATAATTGCTAACAATCCATTAAATAAAACCTCATCAATTATACCTAGGTAGCACCTAACTTTTGAAAAACTAATTATGTTAATTAAGACAAAAATTGTTATATTATTTTAATTAAGTAATATTTATATTTTTCTACTGCATCATATAACAATTATTATTAGAATTAATAATTATAAACACTAAACAATATCTGATAGTTCTATAAACATAAAAAATTATATTGTAAAATTTTTTGTTCAAGTTATTTATTCTAAAATCAACATTATATTTTTTATCTGATTAAGCGAATGTTTTTAAATAAATTAATTTATTTTAATGTGATAGTAAAATCACTTAAAATCGCAAAAGCAATTGTTATAATAAATTTAATATTTTCTAGCAAATTAATTGGTCATGATCTTTCAAAATTACATATATTACATTATTTATTTTATTTTATGCAATCAATATAGTGATTCATATGCAATCAAATAGTTACGTACTGTTTATTTTAACCAGTGATCAAATTTTAAAATATAATATCAATATCTAACTTATAAGTTTAATATTGTATTCATAAATATAACATATAATACTCTATGTTTAAATTTAATACCATTATCTAATTTATAATATTAATATTGTATGCATATATATGTCTTATAATACTTCATATTTGTACAAATGCACAGAGCCGAATACTAGTATATATATAATTTGAGGCTATCCATTTAATGCATTTTTCCCGCTCATGATTACTACTAATTGCTACATTAAAAGATACATGAAAAATATTTATATAGAAATAAATATTATTTTATTTTTATCTATTTAAACAATTTTTAGATAACTAATTGGTTACAATGGCATAACAAATCCTTTACAATCACAAGAACAATTGTTATAATAATAATTTAATATTTTATCAACTAATTAACACAACCCTTTAAACTTTTAAAGCTACATTATTCATTGTATTTTATGAAATTTATATAACTATTCAAATGATAGTAAAATAAACATTTTACTAATTATTAAATATATTAAATGTGATATTCTGGGTATATAACATATTCTTTTAAATATAATATATATGTTTATGACTAATTACATTTTATTTAAACATATGCATATGCACATGATTATCAATAGTTGGTGCAATTTTACTCGACTGAACGGCTTGAGATGGCGGCAGAAGCATTTAATACTAGATAGCATAGAGAAAAGGCAATTAATAATCGACTATTATTGGAAGTAATCAAACTCCATTCTTGAACACAGCGTATATGGTAACCAAATCTTTCTTGACCGTTGCAATATCTGTACCTTTGATTTTCATCTCTATATATAAGCAGATATATCCTTCACAAATTACATTGAAATCTAATTGCCTGCAAGAACATCATCAACCCAAAAGCCACAAGGTAGTTCCTCGATTTTTCTTTTTTTCTTTTTTACTTCTAATTTCCTTTTTCGGGAGGGTTTTATTTGAATCTCTCTGAAGTTCTTGCGCAGAGTTTTTATCGCATTATTCATCTTCTATCTCTAAAATCTGTAATCAATCCAATTCCTTTTCCTTCCTTAGACTAATTCAATTGGCACATTATAATTTCTGCAGATCCTCCCACATTGTACACCCACAATTTAAGGAACAATTTAAGAGAATATGGGAAGAGGAAAAGTGCGGTTTCGTTTCATCACCAACATGAAGAAACGATTTGAGGAGTTCGAAAAGAGAAAGAAAGCCCTGGAGAAGTCCGCTTCCCAACTCTCCACTCTCTGTGGAGTCGACGTGGGCATGATCATCTACGGGCCGGCCCACAGTAAGGACTATGCAGACAGGCCCACAATGTGGCCCAATAACAACCCGGAAGTCCTCGAGGGCCTGATTGAGTCCCACAAATCGACACTAGGCTACGAGGCCCGGCCCAAAGTGTACGACCTATCTGATTTCTTCACGGAGAAGGCGGCTAAAGCGGAGGACGAGCTCAAGAAACTCCGGGAATTGAAGTACCCGATTCCTCACGAGGATAGGTTTAACTGTATGCCAATGGAGGAAATTGAACAGTTGTGTGGGTTGCTTGGGGCCAAGATTGAGGCCGTTAGGGGGAGGATTAACGAGATGAAATTTGGGCCTGCCGTGTGGAATTACGAGCAAAATACAGGGGAATTTGACGGTTTTGGCGTGCAGGCTGATGATCGGCTTATGATGATGAACAATGGCTGTGGATTGGGCATGGGGCAGGGGCAGTATGGTAATTATGGCCTTGGGTTTGTTGGTGTTGGGGTCCAAAATGGTGGTCTGTTGACAGGGATTGATGGGTGGGGTGCGATGAGTAATAATGGTGGATATGGGCTTCAAGGGCATTTTGGGAATTACGGTTTTGATCTGGGGGCCGATGATTTCTTATCCGGTGCCACTGGGGTAGGAAGTTCAGATTTGAGGGAGTGCCGAACTTTTTTTGGGGAATAATAGTTGATCAAATTTAGAGGGTGATTGGTTTGGTTTTTTATGTTTCTTTTTTCACGCAACAAATTCGGACTATTCTATTGATTGTTGTTTGGATGCTGGTTTCTATGGGAAATTTTCTTAGCTTAACTTCTGCTGTTGTTTATCCTTTTAGAAACAAAAATTGTTATGTAATGTCTCATTTCATCTCAAAATGATAACAATGCTTTGTGTAATATGAAGAATGAGAATACGAAAAACATAAAAAAGTCCACGGGTAAAAGGACAGGTTGAAGAAAAGATAACAATAACACAAAGTTGTCAAACTAGTTTAGGTGCTAAATAATGAATTAATTATAGAAAAATGAGAGAGATTGCTCAAGAGAATAATATCAACAATGAAGTGCTTATTACTCTTTCATGTATGGTCGTTTGTATGCAATTAATTGTGTGGTTCTAGAACATATACAATACAAGTACTGTATTGCTCTTTGATATATGTTTGTTTGTATGCAATTAATTTGTGATTCTAGAAAATACTCAATACAACATATTTATACATGATACAAATGGAAAGGCAATGAATGATGTATGCTATATAAGGGCACGGATACCTGACATGTGTCCAGAAAGGTTGCATGCATGAGGACACGTGTCCGTGCTGCTTTTAATCACGAGACTGGTTGGACGATCACTTCTTTAGTTTTCATTCACGCGGGGCAGTTGCCTTTTGCAATCTCCGTTCACATTAGAACGATCGGTCGATCTGGAAATGAAGCGATTTAAGGCGAATTGACTGATCAAACTTTGAACTCCTTTAATAGTCATTGGGGGTGTAAGGTCTTGAATTTCTTGATTTTACTGGGACCCTTTTGACTCATTAAATATCCTAAGAATTTTCTAGATCCAACTCTGAAAGTACACTATTTAGGATTCAACATCATAGAATACCCGCGCAAAATTACATACATTTTATTCAATTGAGACACTTGGTCTTGAGCATACAAATATTTCATTATTCTATCGTCCACATATACTTCCATACTATCCCTGACTAACTCGGCGAACATATTATTAAAAGCCGCTGTTAAGTGGCTCTGATATTTTTTAGCCTAAAGGTCACCATCTTATAACAATAAAGACCCTGAGCGTAGTAAAAAGTGATGTTTTCTTGATCGCAGGGATGCTTGGGGACGTGATTGTATCTGGAATAAGCGTCCATAAAACTCATAAGCTCATGATCTGCTGTGCATCGACAATATAGTCAATGAGAGGCAATAGATAGCTGTCTTTATGCTCAGTTGAGATCGGTAAAGTTGATACATAGCCTCCACTGCCCATTCCATTTTTTCACCAACACAAGATTCGACACCCATGCCGGATAACACGCTTCACAAATGAATTTATTGTCGATCAATTTCGACACTTTTTGCTCCGGGTCTTCTACCGATTGGGCCCCCAGTTTTCATCTTTTTTTTTTTTTTTTTATATCACCGGGTTTATAATTTTGGCGAGGTTAAGCAAGTGGCAGGCTACATCAGAATTGATCCCTTTCATATCCTCGTGGGTTCATGCGAACCCATTAAGGTTGTTTTTAAGGAACTCGATCAATTGGGACCGGAATGGTTTCTGCAAGCCCCCATCAATCCATAGATACTTGATGAAGAGTGGATCTTCCACATATACAAGTTCCACCTCATCAACATCGTTCGGCACCCCGTTTTTTAAACGGGAAGCAGGGGTCCAGCTCATTGAACGAATGAACGGGCTCTTTCTTGGGGTGCCTCTCCCGATCTCTGGTAGGTCCAGCTCATCTGTCAAATTGTCATGTAAATTAAAAGTTTAGAAAGAAAAATCAAAATATTTATATTATAGATTGCTTCAAATAATGAACGCAAGTCAATGGATCATCTGTCAAACCATCAATGTAAATAATTATCTTAGAAAAAAATCGTAATAATTATAATATATATTGTTATTAATGGTAATGAACCAAAAAGTCATCTATTGAACAACAATGTTTATTATTATCTTAGAAAAATATCAAAATACTTATAATGTATATTATTATAAATTATAATAATAAATCAACCGGTGTCGAACTATCGTATGCATTACTAGATTAGAAAGAAAACTCAAAATATTTACAATATACATTATTTTAAGATAACTTTGACGTATAACTTTTAAAATAATATGCACTACATTATTTTTAAATTAAGTGTCAGTTTATGATATATGCCATGATTTTTCAATTATATCTTCACTAGGTATGGGTAAGGGATGAGAGAAACAAAATTATTTTTTCGAGTATTGATTATTGATAATGTTTGAATATTTAAATTTTCACCTTCCTTAATCCTAAAATGGAACTCTAAGATGAAAACTACTTTATAACATGTGAAATAAATAATATGCTAAATTTGGCAAAAGGTTGTACGTATTTGAGCTGTGACAGTACGTGTAAATCCGATTCAAATACCACTTTTTGGAAGATCTTCACATGCCTGAGTTCTTCAATATTATGAACTGTTTGGAAACACTGAATCATGAGTTGCATTGGAAGACAGAAACTCCTGTAATGTTGTTTTGTAACATGGACCATTCTATGGACTGTATATTGGGACATGCTTGCTTGTTACCAAACACGCCAATCAAGTCCTCGAATGTAAGATATTTACATGCGATCACAAAGGTGATAACGTGTTAATATTTCAAAAGACGGTAACTCATTTTGACGTTAAATACCTTTTAAGTTCCAATGCAGACAATTCCTTTTATGATTTCTTACGCAATGAATGTATAACCAGAATCATGACCAATCCTTAACACATGTTGGTTTATGTTCGAAGAAACCGATTTTCGTTCATGGTCAATTATACGCCGTTGTCTCCCACATCACTAACAAAAAATGTGTGAAACTTTTAATTTGTAGGGAAAACGACTTGCCTCAAAATCGAACAAAAGATTTTGTGTATAGAGAAATATTCAATAGTATGTAATTATTCATCTTTGTATTTTTTTTTTTATATTGTCGTAATTAGATGTTTTATTAGAAAATTTTATTTAAATATAACTTTTAAAAAAGATTTTCATAATCTGTCTTCCCCTAGTTAACATTTTTCACATAAAAATTTCTTTTACAGTTAATTTTGTGCAGTAATATCAGAAAAATTGGGAAAACAAAAGGAGGGAAAAGAAACCAACTTAACAACCTGTCTCGTTCGTCGTTCCCTCATCCCTGAATAAGAAAAGTGACAAGCATGCCCACCACTCTTCTCCCCATAAACACAAGAAAAATCCTCAAGCCCTTCATCAACAAAGCCGTTAATCTGCTCGAGTCCTACACAAGCGATAGATTGCTCAGCCACGGAAAGGCCCTCCACTGCCATCTCATCAAAACGGGCCTCTCCTCCCAAAAATACATAGCCGTGAAACTCCTCATCATGTACTTAGACTCCCGTGAATCCCTCGAAATCGACCGCATGCTCCAGGAATTTAACGGGTTCAATTTAGTCGCCTACAACTGTTTGATCACCGCAAATCTACAGTGGGGGAACGTGGAGAACGCGTGCAATCTGTTCGATGAATTGTCTGAAAGAAACGAGGTTTCTTGGACCTCGCTCATCTCCGGTTTACTCAAGCATGGAAATGTGGATAGAGCCATGTCTTATTTCGAGATGAACCCGTTCTCGAACGTGTTCACTTGGACCGCAACAATTAACGGGCTCGTCCAAAATGGGCTGAGCTACCGGGCCATGAACCTGTACAGAAAAATGCTCCGGGCCCGTGTTTTGCCCAATGACATCACTTTCACTACAGTCGTGAGAGCGTGCGTCGAGTTAGGTGATCTTGGATTAGGAAAGACCATCCTTGGTTTGATCGTTAAGCTCGGGTTTGATAAAAACGTGTGCGTATTGAATTCGTTGGTCATGCTTTTTTTGAGGTCGGGCGAAATAGACACCGCAAGGAAAATGTTTGATCAAATAGAGCAAAAGGATGTGGTTTCTTGGACAACAATTCTTGACATGTACGTACAAATGGGCGACTTGGGGGAGGCTCTTAGGGTGTTCGATAAAATGCCCGAAAGGAATGAGGTCTCGTGGAGTGCAATTATATCGAGATTCAGTCAGAGTGGGAATTCAGAGGAGGCATTCAGGATGTTCGGGAAAATGCTCAGGCATGGCTTCAAACCGAATGTATCGTGCTATTCTAGCGTGATTAGTGCATTGGCAAGTTTAGTGGCTTTGGAGGCCGGGAAAAGTATCCATGCACGTGTTTCTAAAGTTGGGTTGGATAAAAACGTGTTTGTAGGCAGCTCTCTTGTAGACCTGTACTGTAAATGCAGTAAAACGCAAGACGGGCGCTCGGTATTTGACGAGACCCCAAATAAAAATATCGTGTGCTGGAATTCGATGCTATCAGGTTATAGCTTGAACGGAGAATTAAAGAAAGCCATCGAGATTTTCAAACAAATGCCTGAAATAAATACCGTCTCATGGAACTCGCTGATCGCCGGTTATTTAAACACCAAGGATTATAAAGAGGCGCTGAAAGCATTTGACGAGATGATTTTATTAGGACATAAACCGAATAAGTCGACTTTCTCGTGCGTTTTGAGAGCCTGCGCAAACCTTGCCTCCTTAGAGAGAGGCAGGCGCGCGCACGCCAAAGCCCTGAAGCTCGATTTTCATCACGACGTCTATGTTGGGACTGCGCTAGTCGACATGTACGCGAAATCCGGGAGCGTGGAATGTTCTAGAAAGGTCTTTCGTCAAATACCTGCCAAAAACGAGGTCGTGTGGACTGCCATGATACAAGGACTGGCGGAAAACGGTTTGGCGCAAGAATCTTTAGCGCTTTTCGAGGAAATGGAGAGAAAATCGAGCGTGAGGCCGAACGAGCTCATTTTGTCGTCCGTTCTCTTCTCGTGTTCGCACTGTGGTTTGGTCGATAAGGGGCTCGATTATTTCGATTCGATGGAGAGGGTTAATGGGGTGAGGCCGAACGAGAGGCATTATGCTATCGTGGCAGATATGCTGTCGAGGTCTGGGAGGCTTGAAGAGGCGGAGGATTTTATTACGAGAATGCCCTTCGAGCCGGATGTGAATGTGTGGGCGGCTTTGCTGAGCGGGTGCAAGAAATTTGGGGACGAGAAGTTGGCGGGAAGGGTGGCGGAGAGGATGGCGGGGATGTTGGGGGCTGAGGCGGGAAGGTATGTACAGGTGTCGAGTGTTTANCATAAGCTCTCATCAATTGCGAATTACTGATAAACTAGTTTCGAACTGATAATTGATACTTAAGGGTCGCAATTATTATTTAAAAAAAAAAAAATATCGAACAACTTGACAGACCAAATTGAAAAATTAAACTTTTGTATAAGAACGAACTTATCATTTCTTTTATGTGCACTTTTACTCTGGGCAAGGGAGGAGTTAAGAATGAAAATGAGGTCTCCAATTTTTCTTAGTTTCAGACTAGTTGAATATAGTATCACTATTAACTTTTTCGATCAACTCCAACTCCCATTTCAATGTATCATCAAATAAAAAATTCCCCTTCCATCTTGTTGTGAATAAATGTTTTTAACTAATTTCAGAGCTATATAGTTATCGTAAGCATGAGTAGAGTTCATTAGATCAAATAAATGTATGAAAATTTAGCTAACAAAATAACGTATGACAACTTCAATTGTACCAGTCAAACAAGTTATACACTTTTGACTTATTTTTATATTTAATGTAATTAAAAAATAGTCGATAAGTCTTGAAATCTCTCATTATTATTGATATCAAGCTCATAATGGTTAATTGCAATCTCAAATAGAGAAAATATTGAGCATTAAAATCAAGAAGATAGAAGTGTTCGACATAACACTGAGAATATGATATGCACTGAATACTTGGATATAAAAATTTTTGGATTTGTTTAGATTTTTTTGGTTTGGTTTTGTTAATTTTGAAAAAGGTGGTATGGTTAGTTGTTAGTGGTATATTAAAATAATTAAAATTGATTTAATGTAAAAGTATGAGAGAAATGATTTGAAATGATGGTTAGTTAAAATTATGTGAGAGGATGAATAGTGAATTAAGGTTGATGTGATGTGTAAGAATGATTGGTTGATATTATTTAATTATATTAATAATATCAATATTAGTTGGGTTGAGTTAAAGTTGAGTTAAAAAAAGTGGTTGAGTAAAAAGTGTTTGGATTTTTTGGATAAGTTTTGTATCCAAGCACGCATTCTTTTAGTTCCAAGGCACATCTAAGCTTAAGAAGTTCAATCACCTCATCCTTAAATCCACTATTAATCTCTTCATTTGTAAATCGATTGAAGATAAATACATCTAAATGATAGTGATGTTCAACTATGATCAAATCATTTTACCGACTTAAACAATATGTAGTGGTTTTATAATGAGCTTCTATTTGAGTCACCCCAATTTTATACTTGATACAAACTTCCTCTATATTTTGAAGGCGGGCACCAACACCTTCTTCCCGCAAAGTCTGAAGTAACATTATAGTAATTGAAATATTGTCCATTGTACTTAAAATGTCTGGAGACTTCTATTGCAATGCTTGACAAAGTTAATTTGTTGTCCCCATTATAGTTTGCATCAAGTATATTATGAATATGAAAAAAACCTTATTGCAATCTAAATCCACTTGTTTCACCTCGATTGGAGTTAGAAGATCGTTAATTCGTTCTGTTCTCCAACACAATAATCACATAGCTATACATGTACACATCTAATCATACTACCAAGTGAGTTAAAATTAGAACTCCAACGAGTCCTTTTCTAGCCTTAGTAAAATTCCTAATTTGATTACAGACTCTACTTGTATCAAGTTGCCCCGTCTATTATTTGTGCAGTTTCATTTTTTGAGTCATTTGTAACTCATAATTTGAGAGAGACATTTATAAGATTACCGATAGCAATCAATTAAAAAAAAATCTTAACCGAATTG